GATCTGGCCCACGGGCCGTAGTTTACCCACGGCTGCTCTAGGTAGCCTTTTCTTTCTTTTTTTTTTTAAAGAAATATATTTTATTGATTTTTTACAGAGAGGAAGGGAGGGAAATAGAGAGTTAGAAACACCGATGAGAGAGAAACATCGATCAGCTGCCTCCTGCACACTCCATACTGGGTATGTGCCCACAACCAAGTTACATGCCCTTCACTGGAATCGAACCTGGGACCCTTTTGTCTGCAGGCCAACACTCTATCCACTGAGCCAAACCAGTTGGGGCGGGCCTCTAGTTATTAATACAACAATAGCAAAAGCATCTTTTGAACAAGAGTGAGAATATATTTGACTCTTTACTGGTGATGGGGATACCTGCTCTTTCTTTGGTTAGGAACAGTTTACCTTCCTCTTACTATTAGTGTCCACAGAAGCAGTAGGAAGCAGTTTCTCAGCAACCCTGCCTGGGGAACCCATCTGGGGGCTTGGTATACTAGTGAAATGAGGATCTTTTGAATCTGGTTCCTTTAACACCTTCACCCCTTTCTACCTCATCCCACATTTATAGACAACTTTTAAAATTTGCCTGATGAGCTTCACATATAAGAACCTGGGCAGCACTTGTTTCACTAGCTCATATCTGGACTTTCATAGCTTCTCTCCTATTGAATTAGTGGAAAGCTAAAGGGAATAAACAATGTATGAAAGTTTTGAAGTGGACTCCAGCCATGCAATGGATCAGACAACCACTGTATAAGGACTTCTGAATTTAGGGCATCTTCCAAATGGCAGTGAATTAGAACATACTGGGAAGGCAAGACACCCGGCATTTGTCCTTCCAGCAAGATGGAAGAGTGCTACTCTGTGTGAGGCCAAGCAGCTCTCTGAGTGCTTCTTGGGACACTCTGTCCTGACCCATGCACTCAAAAAGTTCTTTGCACTAATAAAATATGTTCATTGTGAGAAATGCTCACCTGTCCAAATTCAGATAACGGACGCAGAGACAGAAGTATGGCAAAAGTGAGACTTTTTAAATTTTATTTTATTGTTTAAAGTATTACAGATAGCAGTACATATGTCTCCTTTTTTTCCCCATTGACCTTCCCCTGCTTCCTCTACCCCACCCCCACCCCCTGCACATGCCCTCACCAACCCCTCACCCCCCAGTGTCTTTTGTCATTGGTTATAATTATATGCATGCATACAAGTGCTTTGATTGATCTCTTACCTCCCCCCCCCCAACACTCCCCAGCCTTCCTGCTGTAATTTGACAGTCTGTTTGATGCTTTGCCTCTGTATCTATCTTTTTGTTCATCAGGTTATAATGTTCTTTATAAAGATGAAAACGAGACTTTTAATACGTCCATGAGAGCAGGTGTTCATCACTATTATATTGGTACACTTGGGGCAGCCAACACAGTCTATTTATTCAGTCTCTCCTCCAGTTCCTCATTGGCTGAGTACTATGGGGTCACCTGTTTCCTCATACATTGCCTAGGTCTTGATATCTTCCATTAGACTATTTAAAAAAATTGGATTGAGGCCCTCTCTAGCCGCCTCTATCTCCCCCTGTCTAGCCGAGGCGGGCACCTGTGTGGGGAGGTGTGTGTGGGAAAGAGGTTTTCCACCATGATGTTGGCCCACATACACAGTTCTTTGTTCCTATATCCTCTTTTCTCCTCCCTGCATTCTGTTTGCCCTGGGGAAATTCAGCAAATTCCATCAAAAGCTGACCATTCTGGAGATGGATCACAGAGGTCCATTTCCTACATAGTGACCTCCTTGAAATAAAGTGCTAAAAGTGCTGTATTCTCCATGAAAAGGAAATAAATAATCTTAAATTCTCTTTTAATTTAAAAAATTTAAACACTCGGCAAAAAAGTATATTCAAATATTGTAAATTGCAGAAATTTCTTTTAAAATGCAATTAAAGTTGATTTTTTTTCATTTAAAAATAAGTGAGTTTGGCTGGTTTAAGATTACTAATATTGAAAGTGGTTGTTGCGATTGGTGGTTATAGTGAGTTATTCCCAAATTCTTCTTAATAAGGGAAATAAGCTTGCCTTCTAAGAATTAAACATAAAATTAGCCATTATTGGATCACAGTAGAAACTTGCAAAGTCAATTTAAAGAGATATACATGATGACTACCAAAGCATCTAGAGCTGACTGTAACCCAGTGGAATGAGTTATCATCATTTATTGCATTTAATAAGCATTTACTGAGCACATATTATAGGAAAGAACTGATCTAGGCCTAGGAATAGAGTAATGAACAAACTATACGTGGTTCTTGGAGTTTACTATCTAGTGGAGAGATGAGCATCAAGTAGTCATATGATTGGTTATTTAGTTATATGCATGACAAGTGCAACAAAGGAAAAGGTTGGGTTTTTGCAACATTTATAGCAAGGAAACCAAGTTTTTAGGAGTAAAGGAGAGCTTTTAAAAAAATTAACATTTAAATTGAAGTGTGAAATACTAGTAATTAATCAGGCATAGGAGTTGGGGGTAGGACAGTGTTAGGATAGTAAAAGAGTTGGAGGGCCCAGGAAATGGAATGTTAGGGATTGTGGGGAGTGATGTGAGGTGAGACTAGAGAATTGAATGATAACTGGAGGCGAAGGCCTTGCCAGTAAGTTAAAAATGTGAGTATCACTAACTAGAGCAGTGACATTCGATTCAAGTTTTATGAAGATGTTACTGGATGCAGATCAACTTGGAAAAGGACTAAAAAAAACATTAGTTTGAGGAAGGATTGAATCAGGAGAGGAAGGACTGAAGAAGAGTTCAAATCCTCCTCAGGGGACAGTGATCATTTGTTCAGTAAATACAGTTTTCCTTACTGTGTGCTTAGCACTAGAGTTATGGAAGTGAGCAAAACCGATGTTGTGAGGAGCTGATGACAGATATAATCTTACTGTGAGGCTGTTTGCAGCTTAATATTCTAATAACTTAAGTTTGCCTGACTCCTTGATATGAAATGAATTTGTGATGAATTATGTGGTGAATTTCACATAATTTGCCAAGAGGGAGAAGATTTGCTGGTTAAAGAACAGTGTCTTATTAGTTACATCTCACTAGTTATATGCCTTGTTAGTTTTATGCAAGAGTCACTAGGCTCATCTTGGTTAATGTGAGTCAGCTTCTGAGATTCTGGCCAGTGGGTGTTTGAGCTCATGGGAATACTTGTAAGAGACAGGCCCTGGACCATGTTGAATTCATCAACTCACTGCCTTCCTGCAAGGAGGTATTTAGTTGCCAGTTGGTCTTCTCTAGGAAATATTCTGACATCATTCTATGCACAACATCCCTCTCCTGACCTTTTTTCTTGTTTTCCAGTTGTCACTAAGGTTAGTATAAATAGATGCTTCATAGATTTGCATGCATTTTCCATGGAATATGTATAGTGACCCTAAAATTCCAGGTGCTTGTACAATTTATCAAAATAGGTTTCACACCAGTAGTTTATGCATTTATTTATTCAACACATATTTATTTTATTATGTATATTATGCATAACCAGAGATCCAATGCCAAGCAAATAAACACAATTTCTGCCTGTGTATGCAGAGCTCAATGTTGTGGTGCTTGTCCAAAGCATATGTGTTTCACACGGTGGCTGTGATTTTACGTTGTCCAAGATTGGTATGAAATGACTCTATTAGATTTATTTTAATTAATTAAAAATTCGGTGTAAATACTCAGAGGCAATTATAGCCTACTTCTTGTTTAAAATATCTTACATTTAGCACTGTATAAATATATGCTTTCTAAAGGTTTTATTTGATTAAGTTAGAATCAAATATTTGTCATGTTATGGATAATTTCCTACTTCGTGTAAATGGAAAATTATTTTAGGCCCAAGAAAAATTCCAGAAAGCTTGGAACCACTTTACCATTGCCATAGAAGTTGATCCAAAGAGCTACCTAGCCTATGAAGGAAGAGCTGTGGTCTGTCTTCAGATGGGTAATAACTTTGCTGCAATACAGGATATTAACATTGCCATTAAGGTAAAAATCCACTTAGATTGTGTTATAATTAGCATAAATTAACACCATCAATGAATAGGGTTAAGTAAAAAGATTCTGTTATGTTTTAAAGTGATTTGTAGAGAAAATAATATATATATATTTTGTTCCAAGAGATTCCTAAAGAATTATTATGGCTTGCAAGTTCTATAACCTGAATACATTTAAAATTCAAAAAAAAAAAATTCCTGGTAAATGTTGATTCTCTCAGTAAATGCAATTTATAGTTTTATGGCGTCAATATTATTTTGTAATGAAAAATGAATGCCAAAAAAATAATGTTCTGGGTTTGAAGGAACTACAGGAAGAATAATGTAATTCCCCAGGTTCTTCTGTAGTGAAAAGGCAAATAAATACCTCAGGTTTTGTATACAATGAAAGAAAATCTTCCTCTTTATTTTCTAGATTTTTGGATTCTGTTTCTGTTGCTTCGGGTAGATGTTGTAATCTTTGAGGTGAGAAAAAGGGAAGACCTGAAAGATCATTGCTGCTGCTTAGAACAAATAAACATGTTAACTATTTAATTTCTTTTCCAGCTTTAACAGAGCTAAGCAGATAAGCTTTCCCCCATGTTCTTTGGAAAGGAACTGAGTAAAGCACTAAGATTATTTATTTTATTATAACCAAAATCAACAAAGTGTTGACATTGAACCAACTTCATACTGAGACCTCTCACAAAATATTTGCTCTAATAGGGCTTCACCTGAACTATAAAGTTACTAGCTTCCCACAAGTAGATTTCATAACGTTCATTTTTGCAGATATGAAATCAGAGATAAATACTATTCCCAGATGCTAAATACTCATACTATTAAATTGCAGATCAATACTACAGCAGAATTCTTAACAAATCGTGGTGTGATTCATGAGTTTATGGGCCAGCAACAAAATGCAATGAGAGACTATCAAGCAGCAATTTCTTTAAACCCTACATACGCACTGGCTTACTTTAATGCAGGAAATATCTACTTTCACCACAGGCAGTTTTCCCAGGTAATGTGAGTTTTCCTTAACATTTTCTTTTTACATTAAATGCTTTCTTTGTTATATATAGTTTCAAAATTCAGTCCTTATATCCTAGGCTAATCATTAGTTCTTTTTTAAACAAGTGTCCTTCGTAAGAATGTTTATAATTAATTAAATGTTTAACCTCTCTGGATTTATTCTCATTATCACCATCCATTCAACATTTGTCCAGCAAACATTATTTTGGACTTACCAAAGTGTCTTGCTATCCATTCTTTATCTTTTTGAGTCAGAAGCTAATCATTTATTGTCACCTTTTCATTTCTATTGTAATAAATTATTATGGTTATGACTTTTCTCCAAGTACTGCTTTTAGCAGTATCCTACATATTTTGGCCTTTGAAGTTTTAATTTTTGTTTTCCCAAAATTTTGCACTTGTAATTTTATTTCCCCTTTGGCTCAATAATAAATTAATAAGGCATTTGAAATGTCCAGATAAACAGACTTTTATATTTTCTAGTTTGGGTTCTTATTGATTTTTTAAATGTGGTCTAATATATGGCAAATATTGGAAAACATTAAAGGGTTCTTTTCAAAGAAGTATAAGATATACCTTATTAATTATATTTTTAATTAGTCAATATCCATTCTTCTCTTTTTTTCATTTGGTTGACCTTGGACTGAGAAAGGTTTATTGATTTGGTTCTATATAGTTTTTGATATTTCTTGTAATTTATGCTTTATGAAAATTGCTGCTGCATTATTTCTTGTATAGATATTAATACATATTATATATGCACTATATATTGTAATCTTCAGCATTATAAATGTCCTTCTTTGTTTTTTAAAGCTCTTTAGAATAAATCAGATCTGACCTCTGATTCCATTTGGTTTGCTTTTGCCTGGTATTTCTTTGTCCTTCCTTTTATTTTCAACATTTAGAATTTTTTGTTTAAGGTGTATCTCTTTTGTGTAGCATAGAGTTGGATTTTGCTTGGGGGTGGGCTGAACAGGGTTAATGGAGGCAAAGGGATACTTATGTAATACTTTCAACAATAAGGAATTATTTTTAAAAAAGAAAAAAAAGCCAATTTGAATGTAATTATCTTTTAATAGGTGGGTTAAGCCCATTTTCATTTTGGCATAATCAATATGTTTGTTTTTGTTCTGTTATTTCTGCTTTCATGTATTTTAGAAGGATTTTGTTCTGTGGTCTGTTTAATTTTTTTCAGTTTTTCTGATATTGAGAAAATTTACAGTTTTGCCCTAGTGGCTGCCTTTATAATAGTAGTTTTGAGAAATAGTACCCTTATTTCCTTGTATTTTTAGTTTCTCTACTATGAACAACAATAAATTACTCTCCCTCTCATCTATTATTTAATTTTACTTAAAGTATTCTCTTTTACATTTTTTTCTATTTGTATTCTTAAATATGCTTGAGTTTATTGTATCAGCTTACTATCCACTGTCACTGTTATTCCATTTTCTTGTGAGTTTCATAATTCCTATACTGCCAAAGGATTTAATATCTGCGTATTATTTTGTTACTCTTATTTCAAATTTTCATCTTAGTTCTCCAGTTAAGTATGTTCAATTCACATTACCAGATTTTTTGCCAGTTGCCATCCCAACCAGTTATTTCTTGGTTGTCTGAAATTGGTCCCTTAATGGAGTCCTGAGAAAGGGCTCATGCGAACCATATTCCTTGGATTTTTTCATGTTCATCACCGTTTGCCTCCAGCCTTTATATGTTAAGGAGACGTGTCTGGGTTTAAAAACCTTGGCCTCTTTTTTCCCCCTTGAGTATCTTGTGCTGTTTCACTGTTTTCTGATATTGTAAGTTGATGTCAAGAAGCTGAATACAATTCCATTTTTGTTATTTGTGACTTTTTTTTGGTTAGGATAACCAAATGTTTTTAATGAAAAGTTTCAACAATGCACGCCTTAGAGTTGACCATTGGTGCCAGAGTTAATAAGCACACAGTATGTGGTTTCAATATGTAGATTTCAGAAAAGTTTTGTTGAATTCAGTGAAAATTTTTTTTTTCTGTTTTGTGGTTTTGATTTTCTTCATTGGGCAACTCTATCTCCTGTCCTTTAGCTTCTATATATCAAGTGTTTTTCTCATTTCTTAAACCTCTTAATTTATTTTTCATGTTTGTTGCCTTCTTCACTGCGTTTTTTGAGATATTTATTGTCCCCTTGTAGACCTTAGAATTCAAGTTCTCTTTAGATTTCTGTTTGTTTGTTTGTTTGTTTTTGTAGTTCTGTCATGTTTCCATGTCAGACCTTATTGGCCATAACTTTTCTGAGAGCCTTTGTTTCTGAATTACTTCTTTCTTAAATGGAATTGCTTTTATAATGATTTTTTTCTAGTTCATTTTGAAATGCTATGTTATAATCTTTAATCTAGACTGTAGCAGTACTTTTTTTCTGGTGAGTTTTTACTTTCAAAAAATTAAATTACTTTCATCGTTGTTTTTGCCATGAAGGCAGGTGAATTACTTTTCTGTTACTCATATTTGAATGTAAAAATTATTTTCCTTTTCTGGTAGCAGAGGTTCTTGTGGGAAATAGCCTCTCTCGGTTTGGAAGGCTGTCACAAGGTCTGTGTTTCTCCGAGCTTTTCACAGCCCTTGCCTTCTAAAATAATGCACTCATTTTAAAAAGTTGTTTTTATTGCCTGCATTTTTTGAGACCTGCCACCTTTATATTCTCCTGCACCACTCAAAACTGTCACCACATTTCTTTTTTAAAAAAATATATTTTTATTACTTGCAGAGAGGAAGGGAGAGGGAGAGAGATAGAAACATCAATGATGAGAGTCATTGATTGGCTGCCTTCTGCACGCCCCCTACTGGTGACTGAGCCTGCAACCCAGGCATGTGCCCTTGACCAGAATTGAACCTGAGACCCTTCAGCCCACAGGCTGATGCTCTTTCCACTAAGCCAAACCGGCTAGCGCTCACCACACTTCTTAATAAAACAAACTTTGAGGCTTTCATGTGTGAAGAGGCTATGGTTCTTATCTATATTTCACTGAAAATATTCAGCAAATATTTCCTGTTTCCACTTAGCTTCTTTCAATCTCCACATATTTATGATGTACCTGCCATGTGATAGGCATTTATAAATGCCCTGAGGATACAGAACCAAACAAGGTATAAAAGGATTCTCTTATGATGTAACTTACATTTTATTGGAGGAAGAAATATAAAATAAATAAGAAAATATTTGAAGTGATATATGCCTAATACAGTCTCACATAAGCATTATTACACCAGTATTAGCATATCTGTGAAACTATATAAGATTACCTGGTAACTAGTATAGATGGAGAGAAAGGGTTTAAGGAACAAGTCCTGGGTAGCACCAATGTTTAGAAATGAAGCAAAAAGGAGAGGCCAGAAAATAGACGGAGGCAGGAGCATCCAGCCAGGCTGAGCGGAGAGCATATCACTCTCAAGGATAAGTGTTTTGAGAAGAGAAAAGTGTCCTGTGTCAAATGCTGCTGAGGTGTCAAGGACAAGGAGGATGGAAGAGATCATTGAGGACTTTGGCAAGAACACTGTTGGAACAGCAGTGCAGCAGAGGCTTGAGCGGGAAGGGTTGGGGAGAAAACGTGAGGTGAAGAATTAGGGACCGTTCCGCTGGTTCAAGACATTCTTCTGTGAAGAGTGGTGAAATGGGAGTAGTAGCTAGAGTGGGTTAAGAAGTGTTGTTGTTGTTTTTCAGATGAGGGCTAACTGATTCATGCTTCTATAATAATGAGAAGGGTCTAGGACCGTGGTCGGCAAACTGCGGCTCACGAGCCACATGCGGCTCTTTGGCCCCTTGAGTGTGGCTCTTCCTAAGCCTTAGGAGTATCCTAATTAAGTTAATAACAATGTACCTACCTATATAGTTTGTCTAAACAATTTGGCTCTCAAAAGAAATTTCATTCATTGTACTGTTGATATTTGGCTCTGTTGACTAATGAGTTTGCCGACCACTGATGTAGACTCTAGGATAAAGGTAGAAGTTATTGATGCAGGAGAGAGTGGCAGGGACAATTAGGATCAAAATCTTTGAGAATTTGATGGGGTTAGAGTTTGGAAGTTGCAGGGGTAGCCTTTGCTTGGAGCAGGATGCATGATGCATTATGTCATAAGGGAAGGTAGAGAGGGCACAGCTGAATATAGTTTGGTAAATATTGATACTAGGCATTCCTACTGGTTATATTTCCTCCATTAAATACAAGCATCAGTTGGCAGTTGGGGGTGGACAGTTAAAAAGAGAAACGGTGGCTAGGAGTTTGGTAGAGAAAATGTGAAATGCTTGTGTTAGAGAGTGGAGGGTGAACACACCAGGGAAGTATAGCAGAAAAGATTAAGTCCTCTTTGTCTTTCAGTGCACAATTCTTTTTTTTCTCTTTAAAATTTCTTCAATTACGGATGACAATATTTTTATTAGCTTTAGGTGTATAGCATAATGGTTAGACATTTATATAATTTAAGAAGCAGTCCCCTCATCTGGCACCATCCATAGTTATCAGACAACATTAAGCTGTCATTTGAGGTTTATGGTCATGAATTTAAAATGAGATCTTGACTCTGCTGATTTGTATACAATTCTTTCTATACAGATTCAATGCTACTTTGTGTCGCTCCACACTTGTTTCTGTATGTTGATCTCTTATCTACTCACTCCAATTAGATTGTAAACTTGTAGAGCCAGGAATTGAAACCCTTCCTTTTATCCCTAGATTTCCTTACTCAGAAAGCTTGTCTGTACCCGTGGTTTAGACTGCATGCCACCCACCACCTTTCTTCTGAGCTCCTAACCCATATTTATCACCAGTTGCTAAATCTGGATATTTTACAAATGCATTAGGGCCAAAACAGAATTTCTATATCCTCTACCCTCCTTCCAGTGGTTCTTCAAATAAATCTTCTCTCAATTTAAAGTCACCCTAGTAAAAACACCAGAGTCAACCATGACTTTCTCTTCCTCTTCTCCTTAATCTAATCCGGTCAGTTTTGCTTCT